CTGTAAAGACAGGATGAGGGTTTCCCCCCTCCATTCCTTTCACACCCTTCTTGCTAATAAAGAGACAAACAAACTGAAGGTTTTCAGAACATGGTGAGCGGCTTGGAGAAGCAGTTCACTGTGTCTTCTCCTTCTGCAGAAGTTTGGCTGAAAACTCACATACGTTCTGTGGTTCTTTTTATGTAGGTTTGAGAAAATACCTATCAGTGCCGTTGGTGAATCCGGGGTAATAGAAGGTCTTGGTGGCGGCCGACAGGCGGGCTGGACTGGTTTTCACCGTGATCCGACCCACCGTCGTTTCCAGAACCATGTCGCCTCCACTGGGACGGAAACCTGCAGCCAGACAGACTTCTGGACCCAACCGGGCCGGGGAGGAACCGTCAGGCTGCAGGCGACTGAGGAGGAAGAGATCTGGACTGACGGGGGAGGATTCTGAGGGAACCAGAACCGGGTCAAACATTAAGAACCAGAACCGGGTCAAACGTTAAGAACCAGAACCGGGTCAAACGTTAAGAACCAGAACCGGGTCAAACATTAAACACAAAAACTTCAGACTGGACTTAAAAACACTGCAGTGAATTTCAATAAAGTTATTAAAATAAACTTTAATAATTGATCATTTTCAGGTTTGGACAAAATGCCAGGAAACCCAGTTTATTACAGAATGACTGATTTAATACACCAAACATTCAAATCATCGTTTTCACCGTTTTCTGGCTCCATGATGCAGATTTCACTACAATCAGAAATATTAAAGTAATGCTTCATATTTCTGACTAAATGTTCGTTTTAATGCATCAAAGCTTCAGTTGAAATTAACAACAATAAAACTCAATAGGAAGGTTTGATATAATTGTGTTAAATTATGTTATCCTGCATTGATTGACTTTTTTATCTTCCTAATATTACATTTTTATTTTAAATCATTTTTTCACCTTGTTGAATTTCAGACTGCAGGTGATAATTTTCTGGTTTTGCATCAAGATGAAACATTAATAAGATTAAAAACAAACGATTCATGATTAAAAACTAAAAACTGATTTTGATGATTTAATAGACAAACTGGATTTTATATCCATGAAGATTCATCTCAGATTAATATTCTGAATAAAAACCAATCAGTTTTCCTTCTTTGTATTTATCGTTTCTTCCTCTTCATGGCTGAACAAAGACATTAAATATGAACATAAACGTTCAGATCATTTCCTCACTGATGAGCCTTTATGCTCAAATCCTGGTTTACATTTTACGTTTTATTACATCTAAAAGTCTTTGTTTTATTTTTTAGAAACTAAATTGTTTAAAATTATTCTGTATTTTTTTTAGGTTTCAGATTTAAGTTTTTGTTCCTGGATGAGATCAAACATTTACAGTTTTAGTGCCGATTCAACATTTTTATGTTTAATATCAGATTGTTTATGTTTAATATCAGATTGTTTATGTTTAATATCAGATTGTTTATGTTTAATATCAAAACGTTTCTGATCTGAACTGTGGATCGTTTTAGAAATGACTCAGTTATTCCAATAATCCAAATCAACATTTTTCTCAGATTAATTTCAGATGTTTATCAACTCATTGATTTATCCAAATCAATTAAATATATTTTGTCTAACGTGAATATTTTCACACTGATACTTTAATTCCAACTATTTTAAAATATTTATTTTTGGACCAAACAGATTTTTGGAGCATTTCTGACTCCAACGGTTCGTTTTGCTCATATTTGCAGAGAAACGAGTTTCAGAGTCTCTGCAGCTCAGAGATTAAACCTCATTTATGCATCTGGAGGTAAAAACATTCAGGTTTGATTCTAAATGTGCATCAATGCAGTGAATGTTTGTTCTGACCTTTAGGAGAGACGGTGAGCTGGATCGGCTTCCCGAACGTCAGTGCATCACAGTATTACAGCCTCGTACAAAAACCTGAGAGCTGGAAACGTCTTCAGAGGAGCAGAAAAATCCTCCTGCACCACAAACGGTGCAGTTATGAAACCTGCAGCATTAAATGAGATTCTGTTCGGATTTTAAAAGGTGGATTTCAGAGTTTGATCAGAAGCAGAGCAGAGATGTGAGCGCAAGAAAAGTGGAAAAAAGTTTCAGGTTTTCTTTATAAAGGAGCTTTTAGAGAACTGACCTGAAATGCAGCTTGGTTCCGGTTGTTTGGGTCTCCATGGGGGTTTTAAGGGTTTCCCAGGCAGATCAGCAGAGCCTGGAGGTTTTTGTTGCGCTGTGTGTGCAGGTTCAGTCAGAGTGGTACCCCAGCTAACACGGTGAAAAACCGTCGAACAAAAACCTGCAGCAGGAAACCAGCTGAACCCACCAGACTGAAAACGTCTTGCTGACAGTTCTGGTGTTTTTCCTTCATCATTATGTGTGAAAATCAACCAATACTGAACAGTATTGGTTGATACAAACGGTGTGGATTTTCATCTACCAGAACATTTATGCATATTTTTATTTTGGCTGTTTACAAACTAAACATGCATATAATCAAAACTGACGTCAAAGTTAATCATAAAACTGATGCTGTGTCTCTTCATCTCTAGGCCTCTTTTTGAGAAATATGGTTGAAAATACATGCCCAAAATGAATTGAATGTATCTCAAGAACTACAGAGTTTATTTTAATTGTTTTGGTATCAAAATAAAGGCAAGACTCTAGAGAATATGTTACAGCTCTAAAACCCACCCTGCCTGTTACTGAGGAAAGTGAATTAATATGATACACAGCAGAAATTAAGCAAAATATCTATTTCCGCCTAAAAAAAAACCAGTTCAATATATGAAGATTCCTTTCAAAGCATGTTTACTACATGTTTTGGATGTAGTAAACAACAGTACACAATCTGACCTTTTACTGTGCCAAGTTTCATGGAAAGAAAGTGAATCACATGAGTTTTAGAGAGGTACTACTTGATAAAAATCTAGGCGGACCTTCCAAATTAGCCATTTTGGCACAATTTGGCACAATTTGTGCCATTTGAACTTTCTCGGGTTTTTTTCTGTAGGTTCTGTTTCAATTATTTATTCTTATCATAGAATAAATGATTACTTGTCATAGATAAGTAATTACATCTAATAACAATTGTTTTTGGGGGTTCCTTTGAAAAAAAAATTTCCTCCTGGAGTCTCTAGTCTGCGCTCTGCGCGTAAAACCATGGAGGTCTCAATACAGATATTCAAACTTACGCGGGGCGGTTTCTCGGGATCCCATTGGCCAATTTTGATGATTGACCCTTCTTTCGAACCGTCAGAGCCAATAGAATCCGAGGGCGTTGACATTAATACGGAAGCTAAAGCCATTCACCAATTAGAGGACGGGAAACGCATGCGACGTGCATTGACGGAGTTCGCCTCTACATGTTTATATGGAAGCCCAGGAGGCGGAAGAGGCTCTGGGCAGAGCCGAAAACAGTATGAGATGGACTTAGGGAAAATGGATTATCGAACCAAGTGGAAATATTTAGTCTAATAAGGATTATGACCACAAAACAGCAAAGGTAGGACTGAATTTATGTTTTTCGCTTCGTGAAATTAGCGATTTCTTTTTTCTTCTTCAGCTGCTGGTTCAGTGAGTTTTGCACATAGCGTGGTGATTCTGGTATTGTTGGAAACGGCAGAGCTTCGGCTTTATTCTGATTGATAGTTTGTGGGCTTTGGGAATAGTCGCTCTTTCACTGTTGCATTTTTTACCGTGTATGCCTCGTTAGCCTCGTTAGCATCTAATTACGTTTCGTTTTATCAAGCTACTTCGTGTTCAGGCTGGGTGTTGTTGATGTAGAAAATATTGTTTGTATCATTTAGAAGAGCTTTTTCCCGATCTGTGGATATGCAATATGCCTATATTGATAAATGTATAGCATGTTTTTTCAATCGATCTTGTTGCGGCAAGCGCAGAGGACCCAAATTTGGGTCCTCTCGCGACAAACAGGTTAAACTTATTAGGAATAATTAAATGTTCAGTGCCCAGCCTGATCCATCGTGTGGGTCAGACATGATCATCCAGGACAGAAGCAGAAAGTTCAGAACCGGTTTCAATCAGCACCAACCAGCTGCTGTTACTCCACCAGACCTGTAAGTGGCGCTAAACATCAAGTATGCAAATAAAGCACTGCATGCAGTCAGCAATAAACGCAACACTGAAATAAAATTACTAAACAACAACAAAGACAATTTGAGATTTGTAGAGGTTTTGCTGCAGTACCAATACATCAGGGTTTCCTCCAGTGTACTATAAGCCTGGCAGCCCACCAGGCTTTACTTGAGCTGCACCAGGCTTAGCATTGCTCATTTAATTATTTTTAATGTTTGCATTTTTTAATTCTTTATAGTTGGTGTTCAGATATGAATCTTCCAATAACACCTAATAATCAAGTGATACTTTAAAATGTCCTGTCAACATTTTTAAAGTCGGACACGGCAGGCAGCAGGATGAAGGACCGCCGGGGTCAGCAAGCTTTCTGGAGGAACCTTGGACATCATCATTACTGTTTGTATGACGTCTTCGGGGTTAGAGGTTTGACAAATGCATCAGTGTTTCTTTCTCTGTGAACATGAAAAACATTTTCTGTGTTGACACAGAGCAAAAACGGCCAACGTTCCTGTTTTAGGCCCCGTCTCACAGAGAAACATGGAAAAGTTGTAAATGATTTAGAAAAAAGTGAGCATCCACAGAACAAGGTGCAACGCTGCAGAAAATGGTGTAGTAGGTCTGCCAGGCCAATCGGGGGCGCTGTAGCGCTGCTGCAGAATGAGCAAAAACAGACCAAACTGCCCCATGTCTGTCATTTGAGAGAGGAAGGTGCAAAACCAACAGAGATGTGTTTAAAAATAAAAAAGAGGCATGGACTGGATGCAGACATGTTGAAATGTATCCACTGCTTTCAGATCCATCAGTTCTCGGCTCCAAGATGCTGAATCCATGTGGACGAACAATTCAAACAAACCTTTTCACTTTGAGGTGAGGAAAAGGTTCTGACGGTGTGAGTAGATTCTCCAGGCTGATGTCCAGGAAGCTGCTGAATGAAAGGACTGAGCGGTGGGCAGGTGAGGCTTCCTGCACGACGTTCTGGACATGGTGCCAATAAACAACACATCAAGCTTTCAAACTCAAATCCCCCAGGAGCCAAATGGTTGCAGACATTTTGAAGAAAATTTGCAGCAGAACAGTTTCAAAGTGTGACTGTATCATGAGAAGTTGTGCTGATGGTGACGGTGGTTCGATTCCTGCTCCACCCGTCTGTCTTTGGGCAAGACGTTGGACCTGCTTTGTGGGTCAGATGGCCCAGTGGCGCCGATGCATGGCAGCCTCACCTACTGTGCAGTAGCAGTAGTGTGTGTCTGTGTGCATGAATGTAATGTGAATCAGTTTGAGGTCCTCCGGATTGACAGAGTGCCTCACTGACCATTTAACAGACCGGATCAAACTCTGACAGCCAGATCCAAAACACTTTGCTTTCCTGTTCAAGGACTTTCTGCAGCCTCGGCGTCACTGGGCTCATCACTGAAAGGATTCTACCGACTTACTGAGGAGTTTCTGCAACCATGTGGGACACAGAGCCAGGCTGAGCTGTAGAGAACACCCGGTTGGTTAGGGAGCGACCACAGCTGGATGTGGCACCATCACATCTGGGACGACTGGTTCTGATTGGTACTTGGTTTGTAGGTTTATGTTGTGGTGTTTGTTTCTCAGGGGTGAGGAGCTGAAGTAAGGTCCTGGTGTACATCCCTGATCCATCAGTACAGCAGTTCCCAGTTGGCTGCATAAACTCAGGGTTTCCCCCAGAAAACGTGCTAAGCCCGGTGGTGCCAAGGCGGTCCAACGTGTTTTTGTATTAAAGACGTTAAGATGCCAGTGAAACACGACTTAAACCCACAACTAGTCTTAAAAACAACAAATCAAAATGTACAATTAAAATCAATATCAATTATTTCCACTTTCGTTTAATCCAAATT